TTCTATATTTCCGAGTAATATATATATTGTGCGGCCAGCTAATGCTTCGTATTATTGTTCATATATACATTATATTTCTTCGTTGCACAATGTACACGTCTTGCGTCAATTTGACAATTGACAGTTTATTTATCGCAGTCGACGCTGATTGGTTCGCGTTTAGCAGATACGAAAAGGGGATGATTGAATAGAACGCATGGTTCCGTGCAGGCTCACCTTTCTCCCAGTGAGCCTGTTCGCAGGCTATGTTTATGCAAGAATTGCTCTGGTCCTACAAAATAGAAAGACTTGGCTTTCACTAAATACTAACCGTACATGGCTTCATACATTTCAGTGAAGCCAAGTGTAACAATCAATTGTCGCAGTTCCGTCACAGTGGATGAAGGCAAAGACTTCACAGTGGATGAAGGCGAAGACTTCACAGTGGATGAAGGCGAAGACTTCACATGTGTATGCAGAGGTGAAAATGGGAACCCTCCTGCTGACGTCACATGGTATAAAGATAACGTACAGACTGGTACAAGAGAAAAAGAAGAACAGACATTGACTCGAAGTAATGTTAATGTAACAGACGATGGAACTTACAAGTGTAAAGCACAAAGTCACACTCTAACGGAAGAAAAATCAATTGTAATAAAAGTAAGACCTAATGGTAAGTATAATTGATACTTATAGTGAGCATATAATAAATACATGCATGCAGTTTAATTTCTTGTCAGATCTTTGGCTGATACTTTAGTTATACAGTATTCACTGATGTCCTTTTGAACAATATATGATTTTATTACATTTTAATGAGACCAAATGTGGCAATAGATTGTTCCAGTCATGTGACATTCTAATGTGAAAGTGAAGGTGGAAACCATGCTCCTGCGCAGCCGACTTGACCTAAAAAGTTTCAAATTTTAGGATTGTATAATGATTCCTTTGTAGCTCTCTGAGATTTCACTGCAGGGTACGGTTATTTATCCACCTAGCATACTGTAGTTAATGTAACCAGGACGTCTGCGGTAGGAAAAAGGTTAAAATAACCAGGAATATTTTGTTAGTCCAAATAGGGTTATTTCTATATAAGTTAACCAGAACATTTTAACCAGAGTGCTTTTAGAGTGCGTGTATGTATATTATTATAAGCTTGTTACTCACAAACGAAAGCAACTGTTTGGTTATTTTCATAAGTAACAAAGAGGTTTTGTTTCTTCGCAGCTAAACCTAACGTTACAGGCATTACGTTTGAACCAAACCCAGTTGAAGTTGGTAAAACAGTCACCATAACGTGTGTTGAATCTGAGGGTGTTCCTGAGCCAAGTTATATCACAAGTCATAATGGTGAAGTGGTCGGCAGTAAGAAGATGTTTACGATATCTGTAAAGCGGAGTGATCAAGGACCATACACATGCGTTGCACAGAATAAACTTGGCAGTCATTCAGCTACCGCTAATTTAACCGTCGTAGGTAAGATTAGGTTTTAACACACGTGGGATTATATAAACATGGAAAGGAAAAGTCGGTAGCATAGGTACATGGGGCGAGCGGTAATATTCACCTGACGTTATTTGGTGAACGCCAGAACAACGAGGTAATTTAAGGAAATAAAGTTAAACGACCCCCAAAAAAAAAGCGAAAAATATATAAGCGTCTTGAAAAGCTATATATATGGACTAAACCAAGACGTACAATGGTTATGTTTCAAAATCATCATCAGACCATCATCAGTTGGTCTGTTAATCATTGTGCCTAACAATTTGAATCCATGTAAAGTACATAACTTGGGTGTTCAACATGTTTTCGTTTTTTTTTTGTTTTGTACTTGGTGAAGTCCATACTATGTTTATATGCAGGTATTGTGAGTGCATAGAAACCTACTTTATCATGATATGTTTATTATTTTGTCCTGGGTTGAATTGTGAAGACATGCAAGCTTACATGCATTATGGGCTTTAGGCATACATGGAATTCAGGTATATGCAGTATTAAAGTATAACATTTGACATAGAATTCAAGGTATCAAGATGGATAACCATGCAGTAATATATCAGGGGCCAGTTGTATCAAGCCCGTTTAGCTTAAGGTGGCTCGATATAGTTATCACAAGAACCCTGCTCAAGAATCGCGAACTCAAAACCGGGTGCCCATTTTTACGCGCAGGTCGCGGAAACTGATTAACAAAATGAAAGAACTTCCAAAATGACATGACGTTAGCAGTTGCTCGCGCCATATCACGCCATTGCGCGTGGTCTATAGCGTTTTATGTCAATTGTTGACGTCATTAGAATTTTCCATTTTAGAAAAACAATGCGCTATATCTCTTTATTTTGCCTGGTGACCTATGTTCAAATTTTGCATGCTGTATTGCAGCGTTAAAAACTTTCATTATACAAAAAATAAAAAAATTCTGTAATGCCAAAAAAAATTTACCGAAGAATATGACATTTTCGCATTTTCCAAAAAATTGACATTACAGAATTTTTTTATATTTTGCTAATTGTTAGCTTTTCGTCCAAGTAAAACAATGCACGAAAAAAAATTGGGGGTCACCATGCTTCTTTTCCAACTATACGAGACGAAAGACCATTTTGGAGTGAATTTCGTACACGTATGTCGTCATAGCAACGAATTATCTGTTAGTAAAACTAATATAATTTGAAAGTAGAGTTATCAAAATATATAAAAACCCCAATATCTGCTGAATAAATCCTAAAAATGCGTAGTTTGGACATGTCAAAGTGTTGAACACCTGAATTTTTGAAAACTGTATCGAACCACCTTAAACGGTGGTTAAGCTCAAAATAGAAAGCAAGTCTATAGATCCATTCAACAACCAAACTAAAAGTTTTGAACCTTAATAGAACGATATTGTTTATAACTACATATTCAGTGCAGAATATTTAAGCTAACTGATTCACGAGAGATATAAGAGTGTTATTTAATTTTGACTTATCCACCGTTTAAGCTAAACGTGCTTGATACAACCGGCCCCTGTTGTTTGCATGGTTATTTTCACTTGGTAAATTGTTGATACAACCTAGCTAATATATATAGCTATACGGCATATGTGTTTCTTATGACTTTTATTATACAATAATTGATATAGCGTCTTGATTAGGAACGAGTATATTTAATGAGAATGGATCGTTTTACCAAATTATACGTGTAAGGTAGCGAGGAGTTAAAATGTTATCATGTTATTTATGCAAGTTCATACTAAATCTTTAGCAATCTTTATTACCATTAATCAGTAAATGATTTTCAAAATTAATACGAATGAAATCCATGATTTAATTATTCTTTTGACGTAGCAATACAGTGCACGTACAACTTGATTTTCGAATGAGACCTGTTTAATTATATCTTTCAAAAAAAAATCGTTCTGTTATAATAATTTTATTTTCAATTGGTAAATAGAACAAAGATCAACTACAAAACCACCATCAACATCAACACCAACAAGTAAAAAACAAGGCAATGGAGAAGGTAACACGACACAACCATGTAACTTCATTTCAAGCGTGAAGCAGCCAAATTACAGCCGTTTTTCTTTTCCTTGAAAATGCATTAAAACAATTACAATTTGTAATAAATTCTAAATCCCTTTGCAAACCTTGTTAAAATCTATACTTATGATTCCTAGTTTAGACGCTATATCAAACCAGTTTGCGTAACTGTTAATGTGTGCTTATCCATTAGAGTGATTTATCTTGTTCATCTTATTATGCTGTCACTTCGTTTTGTAATTTTATAAATGTTTGGCTGTTTCACAAATGAAATGACCGAGAGAGTCGTTAAAGATAGGGGACCGTCCGGTCTGCGCATGCGCACATAGGAGCCGGGATATGAATATATGTAATCATGCGATGGCGAGTACAATTAAGGATTAATAGTACGAGTGATGTTTGGAAATTTTGCCAAAAATTATTGCTCGTTTATTGGGAAAATCATTAATTGTACTGCAGTGCAATTAATGAAATAATTGTACTCCTCTCAACCAATCAGCATCCAGTAATTTTGTCATGCTAATAATAAACACTTTAATTAGGTTTTTATTTCATTTTATGTTCTTGCAAAGCCTGATTGTTGTATCTTGATCATTTATTATACTGTAGAAGCATGAAAATATAAATAGTTGATTAAAGTTCAATATTTTGAATACCGAAATGTAAACAAAGGCTTTGTTTACATACGGACTGTACCCTACCTTTCAGGGTTCGGGGTTCAATCCCATTAGGGAGCTTAAGCAAGCGACATTCTTGTCAAAAAAGGGTGACGTCCGTGTGGACAAAAACGTCACTTGCTTTGAGCTCATTATTCCAGCAAAAACCCAAATCCCAGTGGTCCGAATCCCGTTTTTCCGGTGGAAAACCAGATTCCAGCTCTTATATTTTATCCATTCTTGGGCCGGTTGTTTTAAAAGGTAGTTCAAGTTAACTGCAGTTAGTGGAATTAACTACTATATATTTTTAACTACGACAATCAGGGTTTCAAATTACGGCCGATCAACGGACATTCTCCGGTCAAAATTTGAGTATATATTGACCGAACAAATCCTTGGAATTCCGGTCATGTTGCCGGACAATTCGTATGCTTTGAAAGGAAATTTGACTTTCATATTTCATATAAAATTACATGGCAATTCAATTATATGACAATTCATATAAAATATAGAATTGCTCAAAATTACATAAGTGCGTAATGGACATGCAGCAGATCTAACCGGCAGCAGCTAGGCCCTCATGCCACTAAGCTACAGAGTCCAATTGCTGAGTTTTAAGCACAATTTCTTTTGTATATGTACTAAGGTGATGTCAATGTTAGGTATATGGGTAAATATTTTCCCATAAATTTTAAATTATGGTTTCTATTTTCCTAGACCTTAGTGAAGCCCGCGAACCTTGCAACGCCAACGGTTTTCCTCTTGTCTCTGCATGTGATAGATCACACCAATATTGTGATATTATGTGTCAGGTTCACTATCAAGCCTTTTACCACTCAAACTTCGTGTTCCTCAGGGGTCTGTCGTTGGACCAATTCTTTGTTAGCAATGTCGTAATTTTGGGATTTCAGTTGACGGGCAGGTGTAACAAAAAACGGCTATTTTAATGTATTGATCGAGTTTAGAGACAGTTTAAGATTCAAACGATGAATTACCGTTCAGTTTTTCTTGCTACAACCATTCTGATAGGAGAAAAATCGTCCACAAGTTGTTTGATTGCCCGTCACTTGGATGAAAAGTCACGTGATTGCAAACGAAGAATACTATTTACGACATATGTAAATGATTTATCACCGAAGTTGATATTTATGCGAACGATACCCCCATTTCCTCCAGCAGATACAACTGTGAGAAAAACCAACGTACATTGCGAATAGGCTCGGACAGCGACAGTCACTGCATGGTTCAAATTCAATGGTGTGGCACCAGACGCACAAAAAAATTCTATAATTCTAAACAAATTTTATAATTGACTCGTCTCTAAATTTCGCCATATACTAACAAACAGAGAATGGATCTGTTTTGGAATGATTCAAAATTAGATCATGGGCTTTACATATTGATTACCTCATCTCTATTGGGAGAGCAAAGTATCACTTAACAGTATACTGTAGAAAACTGTTGTATAATACCCTAATCAAGCCTGTTTTAGAATATTGTTGTAGTAAAAAAGGGTGCATTGTGGCTTCGTGGGTTAACAGGACACATATAAGAGTGCAAGACTCCACTCTTGACGAGTAAAATCGTCCGTTAGACCCAAGTAAATTAACAAATTTTGACTTAAAGGAGGAAACCTTTACTCGATTTACCTTAATTTGTTTTAGATACAACCACAGATGATGATGGTGGTGGTGGTCTGAGCGTTGGTGCAATTGTTGGAATAGTTATTGGTGTGTTGGTGTTACTGATTATTATTATTATTGTTGTGGTATGGCGCTGTAAATTGAAAGAAAGTAAGTTTTGTCGTTGACACTGCACATTTAGCTTGCGTTCAATGATCTTTTTCATTTTTGAGATATTTTGTAACTACTTTAGAGATATAACTAGATATTTTTGCTGTAACTTAGTCCCTAAATTGATGGACATGGGCAATGTAAGGCTGCAACTTCCGGACGATGCCAACAAAAACTTAATAACATAGTTGTATTCCGTATTGTATTGGACTCGTAAAGCAAAGATTGTTGTAAACAAAGATTGTTGAAACAAAATTTCATACCATTGTTTTATTATTGTATTGTAAAGAAAATCCAAAATGACTAAATAAGATACTGAGGTATTTAACAATTTTTGATATGCAAATTATCCTCGTTATGACGTCATATTGCATAATAACTTTCTGAAAAAAACTTCAAGATCTTGGGATATCGTTCCGATATCGATATGTTTTTGTCAACATTCAGTTATCTGTAGGAAGTGAAAAGTTTTTTCAGAAAGACATTATGCAATGTGACGTCATAGTGAAGATAATTTATTTGCATATCAAAAATTGTTACGTATCTCAAGAACGTAGCTAAGATAGTTTTGCCAAAGTATTGCATTTGGGAAATCTGAATTTTCTTTACAACGCAATAATAAAAAAATGGTGTGAAGTTTCGGTGTATAAGCATGTACTTTAAATAAATAATAAAGGAATAATACAGTTCCAAGTATTGGTCGTAGACAGAACCAGTGATAGCCCGACTTCGAGAAAGGTACAAAATATTTGCCGTTATTTTTATTGTTAAGGTTGCAGGAGTATTTTACGGGGGGGAATAGGGGGAATTCCCTCCCGAATTCTCCCCCTCCCCCTAATCTGAAATTAGCTAAATTCGGGGGGGGGGGGGCGAGCATTTCCCCCCAAAATGGAATGTGAATATCATTATTAATATTAAACTGGTAAGTGGTAAGGCATATAACCTTGAGTATAAAAATGGGTAATCACTTAGAGGTGCAGTTGGTGAACCCAGAATTCATTTCTATCTCCTCACTTGGAAATAGGTGAGCGTAGAAAATAACGTCTGGGTTTGTGACTATAGGAAGTGAGAATTCCCCCCCCCCCCAATAAAAAACTCTGAAATTCGGGGGGATCCACCCAAGTCCCAAAACCTAAAATACCCCTGAAGTTGTTGTTTATATGGAAATCCCGGTAAGCGATGTTGTGTACTTATTTTTTGAAGTAGAAAATGCATGCTTTCTTTGCTAGCCCGGTTGTCGAAATCTCACCTAAACAGGTGAGATTTCAGTTACCGGATGAAAATTTCCCCATATGTGGCCGTCTGAAAAGAAAGATGTTGGCACGTGCTATTGTTAGAAACTGTCAAAACATCCAAATTAAGGTGGTTGTGTTAACGGTGCGTAATGGGGTGAAGCGGCTTTTTATTTATGTGTATTTATGTACGTATTTTGCTGCTTCGGGGGTTGCACCTTGCATGGGACTTCACGTTCCGTTTGTGCTTATTCCACTTGAGTCAATAATATATCAATTATATATAATATTAATTATGTTTGTATAAATGTACTAAATAATGTTTTAAAGAAAAAAATATTGTCCGTGCAAGCAGGAGTTTCTCATCTAAACAAAAGTCAAAATTCACCTTGCTTATCAAGCTGTCCTGCTTACCTCGACCTGTCCTGCTTACCTCGACCTGTCCTGGTCCGTATAAACAGCTCCAAAGCTATTCGTTTTCTCCAAAGTGTTTTATGCTTCTTCTCACCTTGTTATAATTAGCAGTTTGTAATTTTCCTCAGATGTGATGGGTATCTTAATTTCAAATTTTCCACTTTTTTGATAATCAATTTATATATTTTTTATTAATAGACCATCATACCTTTTTTAAGAAGGGGGCAGTTGCCCTTTCCCAGGAATCGGATGTGTGCAAAAAAAGCGTTTCTGTGACCTAAAATTTTCAAACATTTTCCAGGTTTGACACCCGGATTAACCAACCAAAGCAGAAGATCACATGTGCAAATCAATCTGATTTTCTAAGATCGAGATTTAAAGTTTAATTAGTTATAAGTTAATTAGTTAAAGTTATACATTCACTATCTATATATCTTGCGCCTTTGGGCAAGCCTTTACAACCCGAAATTCTCCTATTTTATGGAGAATTCCCTTTGCCCTTCTCCCCTCCCCACACACATACAGAATTGAAATTCCTTTTAAAAGGCATTGTAAACCTTTCTGCATGCAACTCAATGATTTTTTTTCGATTTTTTTTTTCATTTTATTATTTTAGAAGATGGGTACAGGTAAGTAATGTTTTCATTTAAAACTTTGTTTTAAAAATATTTGATAGAAAACTTATTATCCCAATGTAATATTCTCATGACTCATAATGTGGCTAATATTATCACAATGTAATATTCTCATGATATGAAAAACTCAAGTTTTCATTGCTGGATGCTTTTTGGTTTTAGAAAAATATAAGATAATAATTATGATCCCAATGTATTTTCATCATATATGTTATACCAATCTATGTTCATCAATCATCATGGGTCATCCATAATTACCAGTATTTTCGGAATGATGATGATGGGTCAATATAATTCAACAATTAAACATTTATTCTCACCATTGCACTCATATAAACATTCATACTCATATGTATAACAATTGCCTTGCTATTTTAGAGGAAATCATCGCAACGTTGACCCAATTGAAATGGATAACAACGCCTACGACACGGTTAAAAATGAACCCTCTGGGAGTAAGAGCAACCCCCAAGCGAGCACTCTCTCCGTGTACGCCGCAGTGGATAAGAACAACAGAGAAGGAAAACCGGTTTGTGAAAGTTTTATATTTTAAGCCTGAGTCTGTAGGTCGAGGGTAGGGAAAGCATAACATATACCTTTCTCTCGATTGAACTATTGTTGAAGGGTTTTGTAGATGGAAATTTCGAGTGTAAATCGTATATATTTATTAGACCTAAACAGGAGAAGTTGCGAGAAAATGTAACTATATGCCCTCATGGCAGGACCCAAACCTGTGGCCCCACGACTCCAGTACAGCGCTCTAACCAACTGAGCTACTGAGTCCAGTTGTCGGGCTCTCTATGTGTATATACATGTATATTAAATTAAGCATAGACTAAGTTTCATCCAATGATAATTTTTTTACGAAATTTCTTTACTTTACACCATGAAATTTTGCTACTCTTACAAGAAATCCGCACTAACAGAGCGTCATTACAAGGTATTTATATTACGGAACTGTATGGAGCCACCTTAAGGTGGTGCCATGGTAAGTATATGGGTAAATATCAGGATTGTTTGGGCATTTCACTCTATTGAACTAATTTTGAAGGGTTTTCATCTACAAAACCCCTTAAAAAGCACAGCATTAGAGTTTAGTCAGCTGGTATCTTGAAGAGAAAAACATAACCAAACCACAAGAGAAGCTCTTTCCGAAGTAGCCTCAGCAGACCCCACCCGAAAATTTAAAGTGGAAAATAGGGCAAGTGAATGAAATAATGCGCGCAGGTTATTTCCGAAGTCCTAAGACTACTATATTTCACTAAAATACTTATAAAATACTTATGTTATTGCCAGAATTCCTAGAAAACGGGTTATTCTTATTTTTCTTTTGCAGTTGTATGCGACTCTGGACACCGTGGCCATGAACTCGGATGGTTCTAAAAGACGAAGTGAAGAAAGTAAACCTGAACCGACTCAATACGCAAGTACTGATTTTGAAAGATCTGGAGAGGTGCCGAAGGCTGACCTTGTGTGAGCAGGAAAACGGTAAGTGCGTTTTCTTGCAAATCGTCGTTTCTCGACATTTTGGGGGCTTTTTTCTCCATTCTTTCGACAGGATTTAGTCAAACAACACTGTATAGGGTTATACCGTAAACATCCGAATATACCCCCCCCCCCGTATATAAACCCACCATATTCACTAATGCTCAGGCTATTCCGAATTAAGTCCCCCAAATATACGTTTCCCTTCGTGTATAAGCCTATGGGCTACTACATGCAGGTATTTATTAACACAGCGACGGGGATTCCAACAGCTAGACGAGTGACGATAATTACATTACAGACAGTATTATAATATGTTAACCAACTTGTTTTATTACGTGTTATATACTGTAAGACAGTATATCAGTAAACCTCATAACATCCGCCGGCTTGTTTTGAAAGCCCTATCGCACTATATTTTGCTCTATGTTTTGTTCAGGAAATAAATTGGTTTTAAAAATGTAATATAACAACATTCAACAATTTTAATATTCATTTGCGTTTTATTTTATAGAAAAGATGTTGGGTCGAGTGCTGTGTATATTGCAAAATATTATAACTTATAACTATAAGTTGAGTAGTTATCGATGATTTGTCGAGTGCACAAGCACCTAGTGAAGTAGTTTTTCAGAACATTTTTTTAAATTTTAAGTGCGAAAATATTCGTACTTTCTAATGCAGGGGTGGATTAGGTCTGTTAGGGGGGGGGGTGGTGTGCTTATCGAGTTTTGGTCATGAGAAAATGCGTAATTACTATAGAGAGAGTGAGCTATTTCAGTTTGTCTTTATTTTATATTTGTCTTCGTATTTTCCATTCTAAATAAAAAAAAATAGGAGAGGTGGGTGCCCCACCGCACCCCCGTCAAGTAAATCCATCCCTGTTCTATTGCATGTATTATTAAGTAGTACATAGTGAGCAAGAAGTAGGCTAGGTAATAAATATTCAGCTGGGTAATGTTCAGCTAATTTGAGCATCCTAGCAATGTAACTTTTCAAGTTCGTGTATAATTGGGATGTACAGTCCGGTAAGGCTTTTTGGTTTTAATGGGATAAACACTCGAAAACCCTATCTTGTAAACGTGCATGCTTTATTTATCATAAATGTAGAGGGTTCAGCAATCGAAATATGAAAACTAGCAGTAAACATTCTTGCGCAATATCAGTATGTAAATGATTATTACTTTGATTTGTCTACCTTTTGTAGCAAATATAATTTACTTTAGTAAAATCCACTAAACCGATGCCCGTTAAGACTCTCAGCGTTTTCAATGATTAATTTGGTTGGGTGGGATAATTATGTAAATATCGTCGATACATAGATGATATAACGGTCATTATTAATTACTTATAATACTATATAGTATATAAACGCATATTATGTAAAATATGTTGCATGTGACGTAATTGAAATATATACATAGTGCATTAGTTACGGCGATAATGAAAGTTTTTTTATTCGTGCGGTAAATAGGTAGTCCAAGTCAGGGCCTTTTTAATTCTTACACCTGGGGTGGCCAAAGCCCCCAGCCACCATGGTGGCCCCCAGTCAACCATTTTGTCTAAAACTATAAGCAAAACTTTGGAAGAAAAATGGCATTTAGAAGGGAGGTTTGATATTCTTAGAGCTGGAGTTACACGAGCAACAAAATTGCTGCAACTTGCAACAAAATCTGATTTCAACGCATGTTAAGTAGAAATGTCGACACATGTTGCCTTGTGATTTGTAATTTATGTGTAAACATTTTCAATTAACATGCGTTGAAATCCGATTTTGTTGCAAGTTGCAGTAATTTTGTTGCTCGTGTAACTCCACCTTAACTAGTAACTGAACTAGAACACTTTGTGAATCTTACGTCATGTCTTTTATCTTCAAATGATTCAATGTCTTCTTAAAAACATTGTGTTGTAAATACCTTAGATTTTAAAAATTTCCCAGTGGCTAGCATATCCCAGAGCCTGTAGATTTGAGTTGTTGAAAGGCTAGGCTGAACAAGTTTATAGTGGTATTTACAGAAACAAATTTTGCAAGTATTTAACTGCAGATTCAGTCAATCTACAATATGTAACACTGTATATCCAAAAATTTGTTTCAGAAAATGCACCAAATGCAGTGCTAAGGGTAGGAAAGTACGAAAATTTTCCGGGTCAAAATCCCCCCAGACCCACATAATATTACATACGACACCGCACCTGGTCCAAGTACGAATAAAAATGGTATGCGTACACGGACTCTCAGTTGGTCTTGGTTTGATCGACGTACGACAAATGGTGGATATTTAGAACATAAATCAGGGATGTAGATAGGTAGGTAGGTATGTTTTTCGGGGGGGGGGGGATAAAGGGGGCAACCAAAGTAAGTAGTGAACGGGCAAACTTTCAAGGTTTGTATTCTTGGGTTTCACTACGGCATTTATGCAGTGAATCTGACGGGGGGTCAACCTCAAATGTATTGATGCTTATGCTGTACTACCCTGGATTCCAGGGTAATGCTGTGCTGGAGTGAGAAAATGATACGAAATTCCATGTATTTGCCACCAAACACAAGGTTAATACATAAAACGAACAATCGACTCACTCTGATAACTGTGTTTTTGTTTTAGAGTTGACCCCCCGTCACTTCTGTGACGTCATATCATCCTCGTTCCCATATGAAACCCAAGAATCGGCCCCAATTCACTTAATTCGCGGTCAAATTCAAGATGGCGGCCTAAAGGCCCAAAACTGCATTTCAAACCTCATTTTTAGTTTTTCACAAATAAAATCAGGACAGTGCTGTTTTGCTCCAATTATATGCCCAGAATTTTTAACGAATTAAGCGTGTGTATTCGAAGGGAATTTTAAAATGCGGCAAGGAATCATCAGAGGCATTTGTAATCATAAAACACTAAACATGAAACATCGACGCCAGGTATGAACATCTTTTGTTTTATCATATTCATATTTTCCATCTACAAAAACGCTTCTACAAATAGAAAATATATATTTTTACCTGTTATTTCCGGCATCAAGTACCATCTTTCTCCAGTGGCGTAGTTAGCGGTCCCGCTGTCCCGCCGGGCGGGACTAACAATTTCCAAAAAAATGTGTAAATGTTTTATAGTGAAGCCAAAACCACTGCTAATTTGCTTATTCTGAAAATTTAAATATAATTATGGTAATTTTTCAGCGCTTTCATTTGTCATTTATTTAAAGTTTACGCAATATTGCTGTCTGCTCTTTGACCTCTTTGTTGTCTAGTAACTGATACCCTGTAGAATTAGCTAATTTCCACGCAATTTATAGCTTACTCACGCTATTCGTGAATCGCATGTCTCGTGTTCCGCTGATTTTCATGTGGCGGGATACGCAATACTATCTTACACAAGAAATTCTGGTTTCTGGTTGGATAATTGGCGCAGCGCATGCCCAGAACGGTTGTTTTTAATGCCGAAGTCCCGCTATTTTATGAAGGCGGAGGTTGTTAATATTCAAACCTTTCTGCCGAAGCTTTCTGCGCGAGTATTCACGACTGTGACGGTGGTAGGTCATCATATTACTATTCATATCATATTTGATGTTGCTTTTGTGATTTGTATACAATGGCTTCAACGAGCGTGACGAGCCTTATGGAAAGCCACAGCGGAATTTCATTTCATTCGTTGCTTTTAGCATTATATATGTGGTGCTTTTATCGTTATACGAGGTGCTCTTTACATTATACGCGGTGCTACACTTCGAGTTCGAGCATTATACGCGACGATTTTGACATATATCAAGATATATGGGTTACACGCAACATTGTACGAGGTGCTTTTAACATTATACGTGGTGCTTGAGACATTTATTTTTAATAATATACGCGGTGTTTGAGACATACGAGGTGCTTTTAGCATTATACGCGGTGCTTGAGACATTATACGCGGTCGGTATAACGTTATACGCAGTACTCAGTGCAGAAGGCAATATTTTTGCCTAGCACAGCACTTCTCTGAGCTCACACAGATCTTCTCTGGGCCAGATGGCATTTTTTGTATTTTACGAAGCGAAAATACTCCTGTTAGAGGTGTATGGAAACTTTGTTTAGTGGCATCCTTCCACCCTCGAAATCGCAGGAAATGCCATTTCCGCGGATCTAGATTTCAAATTTTCTCGGGGGGGCATGCCCCCGAACCCCTCTAGGAAGGTCGCACCTTCGGTGCGAGGGGTCCGCCTTCGGCGGGACGATTTTTTTCAGCCAGCTACGCCACTGTCTTTCTCACATTTCTGATTTCTTAGGGAGCATTCATTTTTTAGCTGGGGGGGGGGAGGAATTTGGGGGTGGGTCAGCCAATTTTGACATGCTTCAAAGGGGTGGGTCTTTTTATAGTTTTGGTATAAATGGAGGGGTCATAAAAATAATCAGAGAAAAAATCACCAATATAATTTTATAGAATTTGGAAATATTTGGATCAAGAATGGTAAAAAGGTCCAGAATCTATCAACTATCTCATCATCTATAACAATAAAGCAAAATTCATTTGGGTCATTCCATTTATTATCCGCACCCCCCCTATGGATGAGCGGATTCCTACCGGTCAGATATTAGGACTTAGGGGATTCCTACTGGTCAGATATTGGGAATTAGCAGATTCCTTCGGCCCGATTCCTACCGGTCAGATATTGCTGTCGAGGTGTAGCATACTATATTGCCAAATATTTATTATGAGAATCATAATCATTCCATTTATTATCCTCACCCCCCCCCCCGGTCTGACATTGGGAATTAGCAGATTCCTACCGGTGAGATATTGGCAATTAGCAGATTCCTACCAGTGAGATATTGGCAATTAGCAGATTCCTACCAGTGAGATATTGGCAATTAGCAGCATTCCTAGGGTTTAGATTGATACTGTCGATTCCAACAGGGTACTTCTCTGAAATCCGATTCCTACAGGTAACATTTTTACCAGAGCTCATCCATAGGGGGGGTGCGAATAATAAATGGAATGACCCTTTGACGCTCTGTTCACACAGTCCATAGGAAAACATTTCCATGACATTCGTCAATTGACCTTTTTATCCGTTTTTGTGTGAAAACATGAATGAAAGAAAACGCAGGACCGTAGCATGATTTCAAAATCATGCATGATTTCAAGGAGTGCATGACTTCAAAATCATGCAGCCTTTATCAATTTTAAGCTTTATTAATTTTAAGCAGCTACATTATCCATGACAAACTGCAAAGAATGAAGATAGTACCAACAGTTTCCTGCAACTTATCCTAGTTATCCAATATATAGTAAATTAAATATGCCTATATATAGTAAATTAAATACTACCAAATTGTCAATTTCGACATACTAAAACACTGTTTTCTGACCATCAGAATTCTGTCAAATCTTCCCACAAAGGCCAGGAAATGGCATTCAGAGACTCTAGATTTAAAGATTTCCTCGGGCCTTCGGCCCCCGCTTTCAGCCCCCCGAGCTTCCTACGGCCCTGAAACGCTATGGAAACGACACCGTGTGGATTAATAGTTAGGATGAGGGGTCAAAAAATGTTCAGTAAAAAAAATAGGGGGTCATAATTTTTTATCAACTTTTGTCTTGGGGGTTCCAAGTTTTCGCATGGAATTAGACATCAGTTCTTCCGGCCCACCCCCCCCCAGCTAAAAAATGAATGCTCCCTTAATTAAATGTCTTTAATATGTCTATGACTTATTGTCAATGTTCAAGTCAAACAATTGAAACAAATATTTTCTCATCAACTATCGTCAAAAAAGGAAACAAAACAGTGCAAAATATAAAGCTTTGTACCTTTCGTATCAGTACTAGAAACCAATGGTGGCTCGGTGTGACCTCTTGGTTAATTGACGGTGTAGATTTCACTTCGCCTTCATCTTTTCCAGTCTATTTATTGTCTTGGCTAAACATACCTCGACAAGCAAATACATGTGAATAATATATATTTACTTAAATATTTTCACTGAATTTTTGTTTTGAAAACAAATGTGAAATTTTTGGGCCATCTCGTACATGTCTCAAACTCACTAGAAATACAAGACATACAAGATAGGCATACAAGAGGAGTGGGGTACTGTACATAGTTGGGCAGGTTGTACCCCATGTCGACATCAATTTTGGGGAGTTTGATGACTGGCAATTACATAGCAGATCAGTGTCGTGAATTGTATGAACATTAGGCAAATGTTTGTCAGCCCGCCTAATTTTTTCCATATTTATCCATACATTTTAATCACATGCATCCCACCTAGCCAAAAACATCTGAAACTGGAGCTTATTTCAGGCTCTAAAGTCATTATTTCTTTCAGAAAATGCTTGAAATTGTGCTTCACTTCGGGGACATTCAAGTCATTTGCATCCGCATCCCCGCTTCTAATTAATGAATAATAATTTTGAATAAATATTTATTATTGACATCATTTATTATCTTTTTTTCTTATATAAACCTTTATTCTCAATTTAATACTTACAGTAGAGTGCATTTTTTTTCAAATTTTAATCGAAAATCACCTCAAAATCATTTCAGTTGTACAGGCAAAGAAGAACGAACATTGGAACAGGAATTAAAGAAGAACAAACATTGACTCTAAGTAATGTTGACGGATAGACAGTGAAACATACAAGTGTGTAGCTCAAAGCCACACTCTAATGGAAGAAAAATTAGTCGAAATAAAAGTAAGGCTAAAGGGTAAGTATTGGTGTACATTGGATATTATTATGTAATTATTTAATTAATTAAATTGGTGGCAGGCCTTAAAATATCGGTCGGTCACGGACATTGTCCGACCCATTCGTGAAATTGTCCGACGTAGTGAGGAAACCATCGGACATTTGTCCGACCCGAGTGTATTTGTGTCCGACCGAACTTCCAACGTCAATCAAAATGTACCTAGTCCAGGACTAGAGGCTTGTATGTTAAATGGAAAATCAAAGTACTATTGTACAGGGGTTTCAGAATAAGCCGGCGGCTGGTGGAGTTCCGCCGGCTACTTGAACTTTTACCGCCGGCTACTTTTCGTCTGGTCACAGGAAAAATTTTATATACAAAAGTACAAGCGAACCAACACGATGTTTGTTATGTTCCAATTGGAATTCAAGTTGGCCTCGAATTTCCCTGAAATCAATTGACGGCAATGGCGTTAAAAATTGCCGTAGAACGTAACAGCTGTCTGCGGCAATTTTGTCAGTTTCCACGGCATTTTTTTTTCAAATTGCTGTAATAAAAATTTAATTTTATTGTTCCAGACTTTGGATTGCTGACAAGCTAGAAACATGTTTACGTATTTCTTTAGTGGGTTTTTTTCGAAGAAAACTGAGACTAAAATAGTAATTTACGGATGATTTGATCAACATCTGAATTCAAGTATCAAAATAGTAATGCACAGTGAACATGAGTTTAAAAATTATACTATACGGCAAAAAATTGCCGTCATTGCCGCAATGATCCACAGCATTTTGTTCTCCCTCTACAGCAATTGCCGCGATAAGATTCAATCTCTGAATTGAAGCAAAACATCACTTATTTTGGAAGATCAATAAGATAAATTATAATACATACCACCAAACATAGCAAAAGAAAGAAGAAGTGGTGAAGTGAAGTTCATTACGTACATAAATATAACATCATTTGATTAATGATTTCGGACTCATAAAATAATTACTATTACTGTAGTGTACATTGTCATTCTGTTTATGCAGCTGTAAAAATTAAACTGCAAGTAGCACATTAAAGTACATTGTCACTTACAAGTATAAGGGGCGGACCATTTGATTTTTGAAGGGGGGGGTTGGAAGATTTCGAAAAAAAAATTCCTGCAATCCAAGGAGAAAGAAAAAAAAAAGCATGCAGCATACAATCGAGGAAAAAAATATCATGCAAAAGAAAGCGCTCAAAAAAAAAATTCCTACATGTAAATCTACTGACGTTCTTCACTTCAGTATTGTGTCCACAGGCTTGCAAGATTTTGCATTTTTGAGCAGGCACATTTGCTTAAAAGAACACTGGGTGAACAGTGGACAACATCACAGGGATTCTGGCGCCTTTGGAGTCTATAACATACGATAGCCAGTGGCGTTCCCTGGCAAAATGGTTGCCCCCCCCTGAGAAAATCTGGGCATAAGATATGTACAAGTTTATAAGTTATTTATACATATCTAATATGCATGGTAGAAAAAGTATTTTTGGATGGTTGAGTCTGTGTGCGTTTTTTGATAACATAGCTCCAAACTATTAAAGCTTCAAAGGCCCATCTACAGGATGCAAGTTGAACGTACTGTATATACGATGATTTTAATGCGAAAATGCCAGTTTAGAGAGTCTAGATTTTAAAAAATTCTGAAGAGGATGCAACCCGATCCCCAACAAGCTATTTGTATGAACGATTGAAAAGCTACAGAGCTATATTTGGTGGAACATTGTTGTTTCGGAGGGCAGTTAAAAATCGCATTATTGAAATCTTGTTTTATTACATATTAATCAAAGCTCATTTTGTGATTTTCCCTTGTTTAAAATAAAGGACAGTAAGTGTTCCTTAGGCTTAGTACAGCAAAGTTGTTGGGTGAATCCATGGCTGAAAATGCAGGAAATAGCATTTCCGAGGTTCAAATTTTAAAATTTTCTCGGGGGAGCATGCCCCTGAACCCCCCAAGGTTACAGGTCATTCATATACTGTACCCCCCCATTTTCGAGTACTCTACTCTATCCCTGCATGCTTTAGGTTTTGGTGCAGTTATACATTTTTTGTAAGTAAACCTGCACGCTTTAGTGTGGGGAACATTAAGACATAACCATATAAAATAAAGCACAGTGAAAATTCCTTGGCCAGTGAAAATTCCTTGGCCAGTGAAAATTCCTGCCGCGAAATATATTGGGAAAAAATATCTTGCGCTGCACTTTTACAGGAAAAAAATATCTGTCTTGTTCCCCTGGGCGGAAAAAAATTCTTGCACAGTCTGAATCTTCCAACTCCCCACCCCCTCAAAAATCAAATGGTCCGCCCCTAGACTGAGCTACAATACAATAATCAACAAACATCAACCTATAGTTGGATTTTAGGTGTTGATAATAATAATAATAGTTGATTAAATAACTTGGGCCATCGCTTGCTTTGTGAACATTACTTTCAGACTGTTTGTAGATACGGAATATGGACGCATCTTAGAAAACATAACGCTGTTACAATTCTCTCGTGACCTATATAATACGTAATCTCCATCTTGTATCGAAGAGGGCACACTACTATATCTAAACGGAGTTTTCTTAACTTGAAGATTTCGTATTCGAAAAGTAAGTGAATATTTATTTGTCAAACTGATATTGCATTTTGGTAAAACTGACGCGACAGTCCGTGATACATGTACGCTTTATTTCGAACCCTGTAACTTCACTTTAAATCGATTTAGTGAAAGCGAAATTGTTACATACACACGCGTATTATATTTACGTTATCTATATCAATACACATATCATTCTTATCATATGCGTATATGGGAGTATCGAATGTTGGCCCTGTTGATACGCCTTATCACACGCGTATGTGCGCGTATCAAACGATACATATGATACACGTATTCATATGACACGCTCACATATTCATGATATGCTACGCCTATGATATGCGTATCATACGCAAAAAAGTGTTAAGATATACACGTACTGTAACTACTTCTAAACTTTTTCAAGTCTAAAAAGTATTAACAAAGTTAGAAAATATATCGTATATTAACCCATTGAGCCGCAATGCGCCCCAGTATGCCCCACTTTTTTTACTTGTTTAACGCCAGACGATTTTACTCGTCAACGAGGAAGCTCCGCAGCTTAATGGGGCAGGTTTTACTCTCAAAAAATGGATGTCAAACGAAATTGAAATCATTGAGGATGTTCCAGAAATTGAGGTTGGGTAATCAAATTTTTGTCTTTTTAATGGTTGGGTCAGCAAAATTTTTGACACGGAAAACATTTCTCTTCGGTGCCACCCCCCGCCATAAATAATGACCGGTCCCTAAGTCATGGTCGTGTCCTGTATCTTGTTTGTGGGTACAGTGGTCACCGACCTACATCGCGTCTAATTGCCTCGAAGAGCCGTGTCGCCCCTCTGAAAGCAGTAACGATACCTAGACTTGAGCTCATGGGAGCTGTTCTAGCCAGTCGTTTGTCCTCGAACATTTCAGGGACGCTGAACGTTAACGGAGCAACATATTGGTCAGACTCTACAAACGTTTTGTGTTGGATACACAACCAAAGCCGCATCTTCAAGCCATTTGTAGCCAACAGAGTAGAAGAGATCCAACGAAATTCCAACCCCGATGAGTGGCGACACATCCCTGGCTAGATCAATCCTGCTGACCTACCCACCAGAGGGCTTTCAACAACCGAGTTATGCCATAACAAGTCTTGGATGGAAAGGCCGAGTTATTAACGGACGAGATAATGTCTTGGCCAGAAAGATTACAGCCTATTAATCCGTCAGCAAATACTGTGGTGAAAGACGAGGAGAAAAAGGTCCAAACGCATGCAACCAGTGAAACAGAAGACGTTGACAGAAAGAACCGCCTTGATCCTAAGCGATATTCGTCCTGGACGCGTCTTGTTCGTGTTACGGCCTGGATAAAACGGTTTATAAAGAACTGCAAATCCCCGTCCCAGTCGCAAAATATGTCACGTGTTTTGCAAAACTCTGAATTCGATGAAGCCCGAACGTTCTGGCTACGAAAAGCACAAACCGACAGCTTTCCAGATAAAGTAAAAGACAAGAGTCCACTGGGATTTTCTCCATTCTTGGACAAAGACGGACTATTGAGAGTCGACGGCTGACTTCGAATTGCTTTCGACTTGTTATATGATACGAGACACCCAGTCATTCTCCCAAAAGACCATCCCGTAAGTCTGTAACAAGATCGAGATTGACCTTACCTTTAAGAGCCTTCGAAAGAATCGGTACGGATTTCGCTGGACCGTTCCAAACGAAACAAGGACGAGGAAAATCCCGAATGAAACGATATCTGTGTCTCTTTACATGTCTAGCGTGCAGTCCATTTAGAGACGGCGTACTCATTGGACACTGACTCATTCATAAACATGGGCATACCGTTGGGCAAACAAAGCCAGTTGGGCAATATTCGCTCCACAGTCGATTGTGGGAAATTCTGTCAATTTTGTGGTCAATTTTGTGATGTCTGAAAAATTTGTATGATGTTCCGAAAAATTTTGGTATGTCCGAAAAATTTTTGGACCCCTAAAATGGTACACTGACCGAAATTTTTTTGGTGACGCGGGGGGGAGGGGAGGTCGCCAAAATTAATTTGTTCCGGAAAAAAAATTTTCGGCACTGGTCGGGCACAATCCGAAAAAGTTGGGCAAATTTATTTCCGCCCCCCTAATTTTTTCCTTCCGAGTGGAAATTCAACCCACCTTCCGCCCCTCATTTTGGAGGAGTTTTCGAGAGCATGATTACGAGTTCAAAAAAAGCCATCAGAGCAATCTTGGGAGAGGCCGAAATTACAGATGAAGAGTTGCTTACGGCAATTTGTGGTGCGGAAGAGCTCCTGAACTCGAGACCAATCACCTAGTATGTTAGCTCAAATCTGGATGACTTGGGATACAGAGGGTTAATTACCAGTTATGAAATTGATACATATACTAGGGCAATTTTAAAGTTTTTTAGATACGTATCCGTCAAGAAAACTATACTTTTCTGAAAACTCATTATGCGATGTGATGTCACACCGGTGATATTTGCATATGAAACAAAGTTGAATATCTTGCAAAGGAAGCAAGTTACCAAAATTCTATAAAAGAAATTATTAAGTCGTTTTAAGTGATCTTTACAATGCAACCATAAACCTTTGGGGTGAAATTTCGTGTCATAGGCACTTTAAAGGACATTGGCAACCAACATTTTTATTGCTTCATCTGAAAGAGCATGAAAAAATAAGCCGGTTGGCCGTTTAATGCTCTATTCTATCTCATCTAGTTCCGAAGTTACACGCAAAAATGTGCAAAATATAAATTGCTGATTCAGCACAACGTGTGACGTCATTAGTTGGGTAAGTATGTTTATTGAATAGTAAACTGAAGCATAGCTCAGTTATTATAGGCACAAATCAAATGAAATTTTGCGTACTGATTGTACATGCTGAGACGCATTGAAAAACGCTTCTAATTTTGTCGCCAAGGTAACAATGTCGTTCCCAGGCCCCTTGCGCCAATTTTATAAAACAGCTTTATTCAAGGTACTGATAAGGTTAAAATAATATCAGAAGTATGTGTACCATACCTATGCATGCCAAAAGTTTACTTGCATGATAATAATTCGAAAATGACATACACATAGATAAATGCAACTAGTTATTCAAAATCAGTGTAAGGGGCCTGGGAACGACTGTGTTGCCTTGACAACAAAATTAGAAGTATTTACCCATGCGTCTCATCATGTACTATCTGTATGCAAAATTTCATTTGATTTGAGCCAATAATAACTTAGCTATGTTTTAGTTTACAGTTTATACTTTGCACATTTTTGTGTATAACTTCGGAACTAGATGAGATAGAATAGAGCATTAAACGGCCAACCGGCTTATTTTTTCATGCTCTTTCAGATGAAGCAAATAAAAATTTTGGTTGCCAATGTCCTTTAGCATGAAAACCTAGTTTTTTTAGGGGTTTTTTTAGCATGAAAACCTAGTGTTTTCTATGCTTAGCTTGAAAACCTAGTTTTTTACAAAATGTGTTCTCAGAATGCTACAAATGCCATTTCCGGGATTCAAATTTAATTTTCCTGTGCCTTTGGCACGAACCCTGCCCAATATTTCGTAAAGTGTCCTCCACTGCTTGGCACCACTTACTGCTAGTCATTTCCTGGTGGGACATCTAGGTGGACAGTTGAGACATCTAGGTGGACAGCGCTCCCGAGACCGGCCCAGATGAAGTGTTCAACCCAAAGAAGCGTTGACGACGTATCCAACAATTGATAACACAGTTTTGGAAAAGATGGCGCAAGGAATTTCTACCTAGTCTCAACGTGAGAGGAAAGTGGTTCAATCCTAAGTGAGAGCTACTTGCAGGCGATGTCGTCATATTGGTTGAGCCGAACGCAAAGCGTGGCGAGTGCGCCGAGTGGCCATACCATGGAGACGTACCGAGGCACTGATGACCTCATAAGAGTGGTGAAGGTTCGAGTTGAAGACCACAAATACATCCGACAGTACACACATTGTGCCCATTAGAGAGACAATGATTAGGAGAACGTCAGTGTTTATAAACTTTCACGTTTCCAGTGTGTACGAATGTAGTTACATTCGGGAGGGGGATGTTTTGGAATGTTGACATTATAAGTAAATTAGCCTTACCTCTCCCCCCGTTAGGACAGCAAAAAAGACTGGACCCGAGTGGTCGCGTGGGGAAAAATTAAGCGTGAAAATTATTGTAATTGTTTTCAAAGTTGTGATAAAATACAGCGTATAAAAAGGTATTTTTATTGTCTGACACCACTCAAAGAACTGGTGATAGTGATATTCTGATCTTTTTTGTATTCGACGAGTTCCATACGGGAACAAACTATGTACAGAGTTATTTTTATATTCAAATATTCTCAACTTCTTCTCGGGGAATATTCCCCGATAATCACTAGCTCGCGTTTGCCTTCAGCGAATAATTGTTAAAGGTAAGATACAGTATTACAGTCCGTATGTATAAGCCTCTGTTTACATTTCGGTATTCAAAATATTGAACTTTATTCGACAACTATTTATATTTTCATGCTTCTACAGTATAATAAATTATCAAGATACAACAATCAGGCTTCGCAAGAACATAAAATGAAATAAAAACCTAATTAAAGTGTTTATATCACGGCAGGAAACTCCTATGTGCACATGCGCAGACCAGACTGTACCCTATCTTTAAATGTTCACCTTTGCGTATCTGTGATTTCTTGCAATGGATTTATTTCTGTTGTTTAGCAACATAACTTACCATAAGCATATACGGAAGCGGGGCCGTTTCAACCAATCCAAATGGGGACATTTTGACTTAGGGCCGTTTTGACTGAGCACAGACTATATGACATAAACATTTGAATCTGCATACTTAATCCAGGGTGCATTCCGTGCACAAAAGTTCGGAGATCTCCAGCGTGGAGTTGTACTCCTCTTGGCATAACAGCGTACAAATGTACAATCGCTAGGATGTTGGCGTAACAGCACCGCGGCGCCGGCATACATTTCTTTATTTATTTAACATTAAATACGAATCATGAGAATGTTTCCAATTCTTAAAGCTAAAACGTATTCAACTGAACACAATGTTCGAGTATCGTTATCGAAAAAGAATACTGTAAATTGTTTATTTAGCTAGTAGGCGCATTTCTCGATTTTTTTATCGCATTTAATTATTCTGTTTTACGTTATAGCGACATTTTTTGCTTTTAATGTTATTGTCCTACATTCAGTTTATTATCAGCTGGCGTGAGACTTCAAATTTCTTGGTGTAAAAAAAATTGTATTTTAAAACTTTCAGCGTGGCGTTTACATGGAATGCACCCTGGTACTTAATGAGCTACACAATAAATCGCTTCATAGCAAAGTCAGACGAACTTTATACGCATTTTTAAACGTTTAACGCATTTTTAAGTGACTACATTATTTGCTGAGCTGCCTATGGTATAAAACACCGTAACAGTCTAACAGAGTCAACAGACAGTCTGGCCCAGGCTGGGTGAATATTAAAGTGAGTTGGCCAATTGGGATTGGTGGGCTATAGACTTTGATATTTGGCACTTTCAACTTACCCTTGTTTCAAAAATGAAATAAACGACTCTACTGCTTCATTAATTTCTGTATCAGTTCCTGTTTGAGGCATAGTTTACATATATGTTTTTAACAAAATTGATCAAAGTTCACATTCACAACTGGCGTGGCAGCCATGTTGAATTACTGAGCCCGCAGACCCCGGCTGTTACTTCAAGTAATAAACTTTTGAAAACCTTCCTCAACCAAAAGTTCAAGGTTTGAGAAAACGTCAAAATTTATTCAGTCGTTTTAAATTTTCTTTTGAGAATTAAAGTTTAATAGCTCATGGGCTCAAAACGTCGAAAAAATGAAAACATTGTGAACAAATGTGTATTGAGACAGGTGACATAAAATCACTTTTTGTATTTTTAATAGTTTTTTTTACATCTACAGTATTCATATATAATCATATAAAGTTTATTTAAAGCTCTTAAAATTGTACAACAGCAGGTTCCCACTAGAATTTTGAGTAGGAGGCGTTTTAAAGGAAATATATGGTGCTGAAGGTACCACTCACTAAAGGGGGAGGGGGCGGTGTCTCCCTGTGAGATTTTGAAAATTAGACCCACATCACATGGCCCAATGACCTTATGACCACATGTAAAAATATTATGTTACACCATAGGCAGCCCAAAACTGTGTGTAGAATGCTTCCAAATGTCAATTTATATTAAGCTTGCCCCATTCCTCTGTCATTTGTCGCGCGCCGCAAGCACTCATATGAACAATGCTTTTCATTGAGTGCTTGCGGCGCGCGACAAATGACAGAGGAATGGGGCGAGCTTAAGATAAATTGACATGATTGACATTTGGAAGCATTTGATGCATTCTACACACACTTTTGGGCTGCTATGGTTGCACGCGTAAAAATTGAGAAAATGAACAACTTGTTCCAGGTTGATATCAACAGGTGTGAACAAGGTTGTGCGGCCCACCATGAACAGTATTGTCAACATGTTGTTGCAGCATTGTTCAACTGTAACAAAGTTCTTGGAACAACATGGTTGACAACTTGTTCATAGTTGCCACAACTTGCCGCACAACATTGTTCCTGCCTGTCGATATCAACTTGGAACAACCTGTGCGTTTTTAGCCGTGTAGGCCACATAAAAAACCGAAGTGGGTATTTGTACTGGAACAGCATGCCGAGTTTGATTTGCTATTCGTACTGCAGTCGGAATATTTAAGATAAACAGACCACAAACCCTTCTCTAACCCTAACCAATAAATGTCTAATAAACTATTTGAGAGTTAAATACTTCAAGAAAAATTTCTAAGTCAAACAGAAAACCAACGGCTAAAACTAAACCGAACCCGACCTTGTTTCGCTTTGCACACAGGCAACGCCTTTGCAAGCTCACTGAAAGCTGTTGCAAAAACTATTTTATAGTACTAGTTTACAAAATGTAAGAATCAGGTGCCACACCCCAGTACGAATAGCAACTTCGTAAAAAAAAATGGTTGGTTAGCATCCTCGCCCGCCCACAAAAAAGGCCCCACTCAGGAATTTTTTTATTTTTTAATTTTATTTTAAAAAAACAACAACTTTTATTGATCAATGGGCTCTAATATATGTAGTATGTCTGTAGTCAATTGTGTTAATAAATTTAAATGTGCAAGATATTAACTTCCAAATATATAGTAAATCTTTAAATAAAAACTTGCTCTAGAATACTGTATGTGCGAAAATGATGGTATAAATCATATTTTGAAATATATAAAAAATGTACTAAAACCAAGGCGTTAAAAATTAGTATAATTAAAAAACCCGCCCACTTTTTGGCAAAAGCTAAGGATGCTAACCAACTATTTTTTTATGTGGCCTTATAGAAGGCAACCTTTCCCTTCGTATTTTTTTGAAATATTTTGGATTGAACCTGAAAAATCACCAGGTGTCGGCTTCCCAGTGTGGAAAGTTATATAGTTTCTTAGTTATATATTTACTATTAAATTTTTAAATCTCGGGTGTGCAATTTTTTCTTGCTTCTACTGGAAATCCTGACAGCAGCTTTGTAGAAAGTTGCATTATTTACTATAAATATTTTTTTATTGATTTCTCTAACTCAATTTTGAATATACACATTCATTCAATTGTTTTGCTGTTGCAAACCCCTTATTTTTAGGGACCGCTCATTATTTATTGTACAGGGGGGATTGAGGAGAAACTGGAAAGGGGGGGCTTTGAAAAAATACAGAGAGACGAAAGAAGGGGGGCTTTGAAAATATTTACCAGTTTGAAAAAACAGTAGTTTTTAAAATGTATCACAAAACAACTTAACAACAAATAACAATATTTATATACTTTAATATTCATAAATGGAAGTCAAATAAAAAGTCTCTCATGTTCATGTAAATAGACAATTCCCATTATAGACTAATTTTAGAACTAGGCAAAGAGATGCAAATCAAGGCCGGATTTTGGTGAAAATAGTGGGGGAGGTGGACAAAAATTTTAGGAGAGGTGCAGCGGTCTACCTCACAACTCCCATGGAAAGTTAGGGCTTATTGTAGAACAGGCCAATATCAACGAGGTGAGGTATGCATGTAGTGTACATAATATGTACCAGTGTATTAATGAATTATGAATGTATGACTCCAATCTTGCCCTTCATTATAATTGCTACACTGTTTCTTTCAAAACATTGCATTAAAAGGGTGCTTGACATGGCTATCACTGTTTCAGTTTTACAGAGAAAACTTTCTTACGTCACAAAGTGTAGATCCTAAGCAACCATCACATTTTCACTTTGTTCCATCATTGAAACTTTCCCAAGGGAAAGTGCATGACCTTTCAAGAGAGGTGGAAAAATTCTCAGGGGAGGTGCAAAACGATCTCTAGGGAGGTGCGCACCTCTCCACACTTCCCTCAAAATCCGGCCTTGATGCAGGGTAGGGATAAAACGCTGAAACTGAATCGCGGAAACGGAAACTGAAAGCGGAAACTGAAATGGGGGTAAAACGCTGAAATTGGGGTAAAACGCTGAAATTGGGGTAAAACGCTGAAATGGGGGTAAAACGCTGAAATGGGAGTAAAACGCTGAAATGGGGGTAAAACGCTGAAATGGGGGTAAAACGCTGAAATGGGGGTAAAACGCTGAAATGGGGGTAAAACGCTGAAATGGGGAAATTTAATCGAATTCGTTGTTTGCTAGACCATTGCGAACACATGTAATTTGCCTATAAAACTCAACTTTTTGTGATAGCATACTATCTTCACACTGCCATATGGCTAGTATTTTGGGTGTAAAACCGGTGTCACAGGAATTTCCCGGGAATTGTCGACGTCAGGACACGTGTCTAAATCGGAAAAAACGTTTTTCTCCTCCTGCCTACACGCGTAAAAATCATGAGCTTGTAGTTGCAATGTTGATAAAAACAGGTTGCAACAATAATGTGCTACGCCTATTGTTCACGAATGTTAACAATATTGTTCAGCATTGTTGCACCCCATTCAAGATGAATAATATTGTTCAATGTTGTTAACTGTAAAAAACAGGTCAGCATACAGTACAGTACGGTACAGTACGGTACGGTACGGTACGGTACGGTACGGTACGGTACGGTACGGTACGGTGCAGTACAGTACAGTACAGTACAGTACAGTACAGTACAGTACAGGCAGTACAGCAGGCTCAGCGTTTTTGGCCGTGTAGAATTGAACAAACTAACTGAACAAACTAAAAACAAAGCAATATCGACATCATGCCACGTCAAATTTGAGCACCAAACTCTCGTAAAAAGCGCACATGTTCTGGGGTTAAATAATATGGCAGCCAATTTGGTACAGTTACGCAGGCAGGGTTAAAATATGGCTGCTTCATCTTGAGGCAACTCAAATTTACATAGAAATATACATTTTGTTCTTTGAACATCAACTGTCCATCAGGAGTATTAGGGTTAGGAAAACCTCTATTCATACGTGTAATAATCGTCAAATCATACGGTGGACTTGCGATAATCCCGCCGAGTTTTAACGATTGGGAACACCCAAAACAGGTGCGAACTAAAGGAGGACAACACTGCAAAAGACTAAGAACAAATGTTCCTACTGGAGGATTGACAGCGGTAGGTAATGGGACCTGTTGGGATCCTTGTGGCGTTGCTGATGCTGACCGAGGTGCATAAACTGGCTGTTGCATTGACGTCATATAACGTAGAAAAAACTATCCTAACATAAAACTAAACCCTAACCCTAATACTAACCCTTACCCAGTAACCCTAACCTAAACCCTAACCTAACCCCAACTTATTTTAAAAATTGATATAAAAACGGAAACCTTATTTTGAAGTATACTATCTAGCAATTGACCATTTGCGTAATAGACTAAATTTTGATCTCAACAAAAATTTCATTACAGCTTGAAAGAGCATCACAAAATTAGTAATATTTCAAAGTTTCGTTGCAAAATGTTGTAAAATGCGGAAAATATAGCCTTGCGAAATTTGCAATTTTCAGTCATTTTAGATTACAAACCGGAAATTGACAGCCTCGAAGGGTTTGGGGCTGTCAATTTCCCGTTTGTAATCTAAAATGACTGAAAATTGCAAATTTCGCAAGGCTATATTTTCCGCATTTTACAACATTTTGGAACGAAACTTTGGAATATTACTAATTCTGTGATGCTCCTTCAAGCTGTGATGAAATTTTTGTCTAGACTTGTTTAGTTCAAAATTTAGTCTATTACGCAAATGGTCAATTGCCGTTCGCAATGGTCTAGCAAACAACGAATTCGATTAAATTTCCCCATTTCAGCGTTTTATCCCCATTTCAGCGTTTTATCACCATTTCAGCGTTTTATCTCCATTTCAGCGTTTTATCCCCATTTCAGCGTTTTATCACCATTTCAGCGTTTTATCTCCATTTCAGCGTTTTATCCACATTTCAGCGTTTTATCACCATCTCAGCGTTTTACCCCCATTTCAGCGTTTTACCCCCATTTCAGCGTTTTACCCCCATTTCAGCGTTTTACTCCCATTTCAGCGTTTTATCCCCGTTTCAGCGTTTTACCCCCGTTTCAGCGTTTTACCCCCATTTCAGCGTTTTACCCCCATTTCAGTTTCCGCTTTCAGTTTCCGTTTCCGCGATTCAGTTTCAGCGTTTTATCCCTACCCTTTCAATATTTCAAGCCCACGATAATACGTTCTAGTCACAAAAAGTATGAATATGAACAAGTTCGGTCGCTTTTACAATATCGTGAGCTTGGCAATACTGAAACGTACACGAAAGCACATCAAAACATGAAAAATAACTGAATTAGGCTTTGCACTGTAACACGTCACATGAGCAGTGAAACATTTTCGTTTCCGACGGTAAACGCCCCGTTTCAAATGTAAACAAACGCGTGAAAATGTTTGCGGTTTGTGCTTGAATGCAAATTGCTGTATATGGTATTTTTATAACGGCCATTAATAGCTACCGGAAAAAAAATTATGATGAAAATGAATGAGAGTTGTTGGGATCACCTCCCGTCAACACATCCATATTGAAAATGAACCAATCATGTAGTGTTTGTAACATTGACCATTGTAATCCACACTGCTAGCTTTTGTCAACAGCTTTTTTTCATGATGAACAAATCATTTTAACCCTATTTCTGAGATATTGCCATTTCTGTGAAAGTTTTGAATTCAATGAAGAATCCGCCATATTGCTTGCCGCTTATAGGGGTAGGAACATTGTAACAGCTTGCGCAGTAATGAGCTAACGCCAGACGATTTTACTTGTCAGTGGTGGAATACTGCCAGTAAATGGGTTAACAAATAATAATAATAATAATAATAATTTATTCATTTAAATAAAGCGCATAGGTTATATTATATACTCGAAGCGCTGTACATTATAAAAATCTAAATATATTAAGAATTAAATATGCTATATAAAACATGGTGTTGTATACAATTAGAATATACATTAATGTATGTATCTATAATAAGAATGATAGAATCCAATATGGTCTCAACCTATAAAGGGTTATAAGCCTTATTGAAAAGAAATGTTTTCAAGCGTTTCTTAAACACAGAAATGTTTTCACAGTTCCTGACATCCAAAGGCAGAGAATTCCATAATTGTGGAGCAGCATGTGCGAAAGCCCGATCTCCTAGA